AAAAAAAAAAAAACAAAGTAATAAATGAAATTCGTCATAGATCTTTAAATAAAGATACTTTAAATTTAATAAACTTGGCCATCTTGTCCAAAACTGTGTTGCGAAATCTGGATTTTAAAAATATAATAAAGAAAAACATACATATACATATACCTAAAAATTGCATATTATTTAACAATCAATCAAGGGTATTTGTTGCACTTTTCCTTCAAATCTTAACTGATAATAATTTTGTTTTTTTTTATTATTATTATTATTTATTCTCGTTAATTTTATTTTAATATTTATTTATTTATCGCGGATAACAATTTAACATAAATTAGATTTTTAAAAGATTTTCTTGTCCTTTTTATAAAATTAATGCATGCCACATTAAAACGATCAAGTTAAAAAAAAAAAAAAAGGAGGTAATCTTTCGTTCTTAATCATTTTTATTAATCAACTTTTAGTTAAATTATTTTAAAAATTCGATATTTAATTTGCATTAATTCACTAATCCAATCAGATACTTTCAGACAAATCTTACTTTGATCCACTAGCCCGGGCAAAAAATACTATAAATCACAAATTTATGCTCACTCGGTCTTAGTGTCACTTTTATCTGACATTAAGGTTTTCAATTAATCAATGTGACAAATTTATTTTCGGAGAAAAAAATAAAGCACAATAAAAATAAAACTCTCAAACGATTGACTGATGTCATACTTAATTCCCAACAAAGAATCGTTAAGATTAAGGACGGGGAGAGAAAAGAAAAATAGTAAAAACGATTATGAAAGACCGTCAATGATTGGATAATCCTACCTGTGGGAAGTTTTGTGGTTATACCACGGAAATCAGCAAGAGTTGCGAGACATGTTCCTGCAGCAGGACTTCTCAAACCCGTGGCTCGACTACCATTTTCTCCATTTCCCTCTTGTTTCTCTCTCCTTTCTGTTGTCAAGTCGTGTATACATGCCGAAGGAGGTAACGAAGCTTGACCCAAAAGAACACCCTAGAAATTCAATAAATTCATTCAGATTATACATTACGACAAATAAGTTAAATTTTTTGGGATGGGATAAAAACCTCTTTAATTATTCCAAAATGGAAAGTGTCTCCATCTATTGACCTTATGGGTTATTTCTAAATGGAAACATTTTCTGAAAAATCTAGCATAAACACTTAAAAAAAAAAAAAAAAGTAATGTAAGTCCGAATTAAATCCTAAAACTTTGAATAAGACGTATTATAACTTGTGACTGTAATTATATTTATTTAAATAGTAGTAACTTGTATAGAGAAATGTGATGTCTCCGGTATTACAAATTTTCTATTTTCTATTGCCTTTAAATCATTAAATTTATAATATATAATATTTTTTTCTCATCATAAAAATTGTATATATTGTGTAACGTTCCTACACGTATTTGAACAGAGTACTTATTTACAATTAATTTTGAGATCAATTGGAAAATGCTCGAGAGCAGATACTCTGGAAACTTCATAAATTACTTCGGATGGGAATAAATTTTCAGAACTCCAGGGCAAATTCAAACTACTTCAAACAATCGCTGTAATATCTATCTACATATATATATATATATAAAAATAGTATATTAAATATTTCTTTAATATTGCTATATACTCTCACACTAAGGAGTTCAATTGTATTCTCCGAACTTACTTAGCTTGCTGAGAATTTTTTTTTTCTTAAAATGGCAACAAAAACGAAGCTATTATTTCCATCTCATAATGGTCTTTTGATATATATAAATTGAGTCTTTAATTTTACAGTTAAATCGTTTTATTAATCACAGATTAACAACATACAAATTAATCCTAAGAGTACTATTTAACTTTCAAATGTATCCTTTTACCTTATGAAATATCATTAAAATATATTTTAAAACTAGAATTATCTTACATCAGTTAGTTAAGAGCAGAACTTGTATATAAAGGCCTAAAAAAAAAAAAAAAAGTATGTTATAAACTGATTAATAGGATGCATGTTTTAGAAATTCCACAAATGCCCAAGTTCCATAACCCTAGTGAGTGGGCAAAATTGTCATGTCTGACAATTTTAGTGGCATTTATGTCTAGATAGCAGAATAGTTTGTCTATGTTTTCACAAAGAACAGAGCAAACAACAGTTTATCTTCTAGTTAAAAAGTTGTTAAAGTAGTGAAAAAGAAAATACTCAGAAAAATATACAATCATTAAAATATGAAATACTAATGAACACTAAAAACTTGAAGAAAACTGATTTATTCTCAAAAACAAATAATGTGAATTTTTGATAATTCAAACTTTTATAGTCTTCCTCTAATGTTAAATATTATTAACGTTAATGTTAAATTAAAAAGATTCAATTATATTGTACAGCATTAAAATAAATTCAATTTCTTAAAAACTGTAATATAATTTATTATTTATAATACCTCTTTATAAGGCATTTTAAAAATTTTTTTGACATCACAAGTTGTAGTCACTAATTCACATAAAGACCAAACAATGCGTTCTAATAATGACATCATTCCATCATCATGTCCATAATGCTGAGATAAAATCCACATCATTTTGAGTCCATTAATTAAAACTGGAATAGTTTCAAGTGCAATATTTAATGGGGTACCAGGAGTTAAATTCTACAAAAGAAAATTTTACATGTTATTTTAAACTAATTAAAAACAAAAGTTTATCAAAAAATAATACTACATATTAATTCAAAATGCATTTGCTTATAATTTATTTTTTAAAATGTGAGAATTCCAAACGTTTTTTAAAAATAAATAGTAAATTTTTATACAATGTTACTGATAACTTAAATAGTGACCAAAGTTGAAGAAATTCTAATATTTTCAACCCTGTTAACATGATATATAATCTATCTTAAGATATAGACAGATGACAGTAGATTGTCTCCTTGCTTATTTACTTTATCCCATCATCTTTTCTAATTGATATGCCTGAAGGTGATCCATTAACCAAGTCAAAAACATTAACATTCCTTCCATCATTCCTTTTTTAATGCAATTATTAGGTTAATTTTCATTATTTTTATAAGAAATTTGTGAAAATTTTTGATAAAAATGAAATTTTATAATAATTTAATAATTATAACTTTTTACAATAAAAATTATTGAAATCATGATAATGATGACTTCATCTACTATTAAAAGTGTATTGGTTAATTCAGTAAATTAATTATAGTGGCTAGTTCATCCCTGATAATTTAAAATCAATTTTCTTTATATTTGTAGAAAATGTAATTTGTTTGATAATGAATAAACTAATATTCACTGGAATTTCAGGATATAACATCTTTATAAACTTGAAAGGTATAGTTAAAATTAATTAAAGATAATACTTAATTTTAAAATATCAAATTATTTATTTTCAATAGAATATTAACACTTACCTGAAAACATTTTTCTAATGTACTTAAAAATCGCACATTATCATGAGCTTCTTTTAAATGACTCTCAAGTTTTTCACAATTATCTAAAAAATTTGACAATACAAAACTCTTTGCTATTTTCAGAACTTCTTGAACTTGAATAACTTCTTTGTGTTTCAACTGTTCAACAATTGCACTTAATCCTGCTTGACGTTCTCTCCAAATTTCAATTTCTACTAATGGACTCTTACCAGGAATTGTCTATGAAACATTTCAAATATGAATTAAATATATAATATCTATTAAGCTTTTTTAAAAGTTGTTATTATTCTTATATAAAATCACATGTAATTAAAAAAAAAAATAATAATAATAATAATAATAAAGGAATATACAATGATTTAGAAACTAAATCACCATGACAGACTTTATATCATACTAGCTGCAAGGACCCGCTTCGCTGGGTTTTTATTTGTATGTAATATAGTTTTTTATATATATATATAAAAGACTGTTTTTCTAAGTAATCTAGAATCTAGCTGCAAGGACCCGCTTCGCTGGGCAAAAAGTAACAATAGTGAAGATTAAGATAATTACCCAATCTTACCCATTTTCACAGAATGCAATAATTAGGTCCCTTGTTTCCAGACTAATTAGAGAATTTTTACATTTAGTCAAACAAACTATTTTCAACGTTTCTGGAACGTTTACAATCGTTCTATAATTGAACCAATATTCGAATTTTATGTTCGAATTTAATTCAAACAAATTCGAACAAAACATTTGAAATAGAAAGCCACTTTCAACCACTTTCAGCCTCATATCCCCCACACCCTTATAGCTATCGAGACGCGACCACCCCTATGCACGAATGGAGACTTGGGGCTACCACCACATACAAACACCATTCACGTGTGATGTGTAGTTTTTGTGGAAAAGTGAAATATAGGGACACACACGTCCATATATATATATATATAAATACAGAAAACCTGCTGGTATTTCAATTAAGACTATCAAATGGTAAAACTGAGTTTATCTTCTAACAAAGTCTGTTTTAATTAATCAGGAGACAAAGTTCAGTTGGCAAAAGAAATTTTTATTATCTGTGTATTTTGGGATTAAAACATCCCCTCTTCAGGTGGGATTTGTACTGTACAGTACATTATATTACATAGATGTACATTATATTAGATAGATGTATATTATGTACTGTACAGTACAAATTGGGATCCCCCAATTTGTACTGTACAGTACATAATATACATCTATGATTAATATCACAATATGCTGCTCAAAACATTTTTGTGGAAAATTCAATTTTCACTGCTCAAATCTTATCTCCCAAATTTTAAATGCCATTAGAATTTACCAGAAATATATCTAAAGGCTATTAAGATTTACCAGGAAGATAAGATTTGAGCAGTGAAAATTGAATTTTCCACAAAATGTTTTGAGGAGCATATTGTGATATTAATCAGAGATGTATATGTACAAATCAGAGGTACATATATACAAGAGGGAATGTTTTAATCCCAAAATGCACAGCAAATAAAAATTTCTTTTGCCAACTGAACTTTGTCTCCTGATTAAAACAGACTTGGTTAGAAAATAAACTCAGGTTTACCATTTGATAGTCTTAATTGAAATACCAGCAGGTTTTCTGCATTTATATACAAAAAAAATTTATTTTATTCTAATATCAAAATGTTCCAATTATAAAATTTAATCAAAAATATGTATGAACTCTTATAACAATTGTAGTGAATCGAAATGCAAATGTTTATAAAGATGACTCATTTACTTTTTACACAATGACCATATTCAATATGATGGATGATGTGGTATCACTTTTTGACACAGTCCTTCCTGACATCCTACAAGAGGTTTTGCTAGCACTTATTCCAACAAAAAAGAAATATTTGTTTCAGTGATGTGAATGTTATCTGTACATTTTATCATCAAAGGTTTAAAATTTAGTGATCAATTTTTCAATACAATATTACCAGAAAAAAGTTTAGTGAGAATGTGAGAACTTGTTGAACAATTAATTCATAATTAAAGAAACTCCCCAATAATGATCAGTATAGATAAACTTGAATTAATTATTTCAGGGTGGGCTGGTGCCCCACCCTAGCACCATCCACAATAGCAGTTCTTTCAATATGAAATCTGAAAAATTACAATCATTACAATTAAATCTTACAATAGGAATATTTCACTAATGTTTCAAACAAAACAGTCCTATATAAAGGATGTTACATAAATCCAGGTTATTTGCAATTACCTACAAATTTTGGTTTACTAATTCAAAAAATCTAATCAAATAGAAATAGCAACTGTGAGAATCTGAACTCACAATGTTACTTATTAACAACATAACTAAATCACAACATAACATCTTGACAACACAACTTTGTCGAATAACTGTCAACTTTCACACCTAAAGGTAGATCATCTTTTAAGTTCTCAGTGTCGAAAGTGACCCTTCTCATAACCTCCCAACCTGCTGTCTTGATTTCATCATTTTAATATAACAACTAATGGGCAGTCAAGGCAGTCGTCTCCTATTCCTCTAAGATTAAAGTCATCAAAAATTTCCTGTGTTAGTGTCTAATTGTACTCTATCAGATTTTCACATTACCCTCAGTCAACTGCACCTTGAAGAAGAATTTTCCCAATCAACCTTGATCCAGAACTTTCCCTATCCAGACTTGTCCTGAACAATCCTAATCCAGACAACCTCAAGACCCTAGACATCCAAGTTATCATGAAATCCTAATCAAGGAGCATCACCATCAACTCCAGGTATTTACTTGTGAACAATTGTAAACTCTCTCTCTCGCACAATCGCTAGATAGATAGGCTAAGCCAATATAACATGATATATATTGAATATTGTATCATATACTTCTTTTTGTTGAAATAAAACGATTATTTTGTTGTTAACTTTAGTGTCTGAGTGCCTTACTTCTGTTGTGCTGTCTCACAGTCTGCATCTGGAAACCAATTGCTTACTCACATGGCCACTCACATGACCTACTTTCAAACCCAAAACAAACTCACCACGGCACTTCTTCGATGGCTCGTCAGGACTGACACCACTGTGTCAATGAGACACAGTAGTGTCAGTCCTAACAAGGCATTAAAGAGGTGCTGATCCTCTAGTCACACTATATTAGATGAAGATAAAATATTAATACAGATGAACAAAACAATAAAAATTGCCTCTTATAGTAAAAATTTGAGAAATCACTTCATTTTTCACAACTCTTTGGCATTCTTTGGCAATGTTTATACTGCTAATACACCATATTCACCAATTAGAATTTGTTTTTACCAACTATATCCAGGTACAGCTTGGCATCATTGTTAAACATACCCATGAATAATTTATACTGGGACATTTATCTCTGCACAGCACTACTATTATTCTTTTATTTTATAAAGTTTGCTGTTTAAAATTTCCAAACTTATAATAAATTGAAAACCTATTTTTATACCTAATTTGATAAACAATCTTTATAATTCTGTTCATTTTGCTGTATACTTTTCAGATGTACGGAAGATAATGAGACTTACACTACAGCATAATAATATACAACTGGTCACTTTAGTCAAATATTAAAAATATGGTGTGATAGCTTCCTTTCAGCTACTTTATTTTTACTTATCATTTATAACACTAAAATATAGTTTTTGTGAATTTTAAAATCTATGTTTATATTTAAATTTAAAGTTTTAATGATTTCAAATTTTAAAATATTCAAGACTTCATTTTGTGAGGATCCGAATCCAGTATGTTTATCTCATTTCATCATTTCACAGTGTAGCTATACTTTCGTTCAATAACTGTCAACTTTTACACATGGGAGCTAAACATCTGTTAAATTCTCAGGCTTATTAATGACGCTTTCTCATCACCTTTCGACCCCAAATCTCCGTTTCAACAATACAACCTGAAAACAGAACAACAAAGTGAGGCAGTCGTCGCCCCGTCCTTGAAGAGATCAGTCTCAAGTTCCGTATCTTTTTCCGTGTGCATTGTGCTTTTCACTGGACCATCAGACTTATTTAAGTGTCTATTCTCTGGATTAACATCGACCCGAAATACTTGATTGCCTAACTGGACTAACTTCGTTGTCAAGACCTACTAGCAACTCACTAAAACTCAAGGTATTTATCGCCATGCACAACTTATGTAAACTCTCTCTCTCGAGAACTGCGGATCTGTAACCAAAATCTTAGATCCATTTTAATGTCTATTATCTATAACTAATATCAACTGTAGCAAAGATCTCTAACAGCTAGCATATTTCAAATCGATATATTTTATACCCTGTATGGCCTATGGTTACCAATTAAATAGTTGTTACGTTAGCCCGTCTCTGAGTAAGTCACTTCCAGTGCGCTGTCTCTCTCTCCATCCCAAATCAGTTCGCTCACACACGCGATCGTTTGCGCGAGAACACAATGGTTTCTGTGTCTATCCGTAAAGACACAGTGGTGTCAGTCCTGACGAAACTTGTCATTTCGATCTTCGCCAATGCAATGGCAACCCTTCGGTCATGTGGTGCCGAAGTATAGGGAGGCCCTTCAGCATTGTCACAATTTTATATATTTTGAATAATGATCAACTTAAAATATTTTAAAAATTTTGAATATTTCTTATTAATAGTGAAATACTATTAATAAGAAATTTATATACACTATTCAAACACTAATTATATACAGAAAATTACCTTTTCTAAAATTTCAGTCATCATTTTTTGTATAGACTGTCTCCAAGAGATCATCAAGTCTTCAATTTGAGTAACAAATGCTTTATCATGAGCCAAACTATCAATTGATACATTGTTTGGGAAAGTTATAAATTCTAATTGTATTTTGTTTTCAAGTTGTTTTAAGGTTCGATTCATAGTAATTCCAAATTTCTGTATTGAACTTAATAAAATCTCTTGAATTCTTGAATACTAGATAAAAATAATTTAAAGATGAATTATACCTTACAATTAATTTTATAACATATATAAATATTACCATAATTGTTGTTAAATACTAATCCACTTTTACTACATCATTAAAATCATTAAACATAGAAAATATAATGATGTAGGAAAAAATATCTAAATTTTAACCTCAAATATTAAAAAAAAATATTTTTTTTGTTATTTATGTGTGCCATATTCTATAATATACAAAAATTTTCAGAAGATATTGACAAAATATTTTATATTTTGTCAATATCTTCTAAATATTTTATATTTTGTCAATATCTTCCAAGATATGATAAAATTCAATTTAATAGGTATAATTGAAATAATACAAACTGTTCATTCTAAGATAATTAACACTTATTTTTGATTAATTTGAGAATGAAGAATTATGCTGATTTAAACAGTTGGCATATGATTTCTGTGTGATGTGCTATAGCAATGGTTCTTAACCGGTGTTCTGCAACCATAAAAAAAAGATTTTAAAGTTTTTATTCAAATTTATTCCCATTGTTCCATGTTTCTATTTTATTCAATACATTAAAGTTTATTAGTTTATTGCTTCATTGTTTCATGAGAATACTGAACATGGAATTGCTTATTAATTTTTGAATATATCGACGCTAATGTGCCTTGTAATAAAAAGTATGTGAATGGTGTTCCACAGCCTCAAAAAGGTTGAGAACTACTGTGCTATAGGTTTGCATTTTGATAAGTGCTAAATTCTTTTTTATGAATAATTCTGTCTATCCTGAAATCTCAATTCCTATTGAATTAATGTTATGCATTTGGACTAGCCCAAAAGGGCTAGATGGCCTTGGGAATTGTGGCCAAGAGGGTATGAGTGTGGGAAGTACATGGTCATTCAATTCCTACAACTGCAGGACAACACATCTTGTTCTTGTTGCTCTAACTAGTTTGTAACAAAGACAAACTGTAATAAAGAGTATCCCATTGTCTAAGCTTGGCTGTCTGGATTAGTAAACTATGGCAAACACACAATAAATGGCAACAAGGATGGGATTCTGAAAATCCGCTGATTCAATAGTAATGCAATGCTCACCAGTTAAGAGCGTCACCTGGATTCATAAACTAATACTTCAGAATCATAAGTGCAGTGTTTATTAAAAGGGAATATTATTATAATGGTTACACTCAGAACTTTAATAAAACCTTTTGAGGCCTCAGAACCAACTATGTGGGATTCATACTATGAACATTTAGTGTTTTTTTCAAGGAAATGATATTACTGACCCTCAGAAAAAAAGGCAGTATTTTTGAATATCTGTAGGGCTAAGAAGTATGCCATTATTTGTTCTCTGGCAGTGTTCAACAATCCAACAGCTAAATCATATGATGAGCTAATATAACTCATCAAATCTCATTTCTCACCGAAACCTGAAATATTTCAGAGATTTTTATTCTATTGGAGGAACCAGCACACCAGAGAAAATGTTGTCAATTTTATCATGGAATTAAGGAAACTCTCTGAACATTGGAATTTTTGGTGGTTCAGGTTCTCTGGATGTAATGCTGTGGGACAGATTAGTGTTGGCTTGAAAGACGAATCTTTATAGAATCGATTGTTCACTGAGATATCACTTAGTTTTGCACAAGCACAAGAAATGGCACTGGCTGCAAGAATAGCTAATCAGCAAATGACAGAAATTAGAGGATTCAATTTGACATCTGTTACACTGCAGACCCAAGGCCAAAGGCAACAATTTAAGGATAATTTAGAAAGATCACACAAAAAATGTTCAGGATGCGGAGGAAATCACTCAAGGAATCGGTGTAAATTTAAGAATGTCAAATGCCATCATTGTAAAAAGAAAGGACATATTCAAAGAGTCTGCTGGAGTAGGCTAAACCTAGTAGGACATTCCCTTGTAATCAAAATACTCAAACCATGGAAACAGAAGATTTAGATACCTTTCACCTGAAGGTTGTGCAAATAAATAATGTTGGTGTTCTTAGATAAATAACAACTGTCTACATTAATGGCTTTCTGTGTACCATGGAGGTAGACTCAAGAGCTTAGATTACTATCATTGATAAGAACACATTTGATCAATTATATCCAGTTGGCTTGCCTCAGCCAGATCCCCATATATTCTGAAAAACTATAATAAACAACCAGTAGAAATCCTGGGGCAGTGCCATGTCAAGGTCAAATATGCTTCATTTGAAGGAGACCTTCCCTTATTGATTGCAGCAAAGTAGTGTCAAGGGCTTCTGGGATTAAACTTGTTTGAACCATTGGGAATAAAAGTAACAAGTATCCATAGTTTGATTCTGATGAAACCATGTTGTTGATTTTATCTTGCTTCTTTACTAATCTATCACACTAAGGTGACATTATTCAACACTTGGCAGATTATTCACCACTTTATTCAGTTGGTGAATAAAGTGGTGAATAATCTGCCAAGTGTTAAATAATGTCACCTTAGTGTGTCTGTAAAGAAGCAAGGTATCCATAGTGTTAAGCACTCAATCTTGGAAGATACTATGCAAAAGTTTCTGGACATTTTCAAGGAGCTTGGAACTTTAAAAGTACACCCATACATTTGCATCGCAATCCAAAGGTTTGTCCAATCCAGTTAAAGGCAAGAAAAGTGCCATTTGCTCTGAGACCTAAAATTAAGGAGGAGTTACAATGAACACAGGATCAAGGAATCATTGAACAGTGAACTATTCAGAGTGAACTACACCTATCTATCTTCTCAGCAATATTAGCTATTATATTAATAAATAAACACACCTGATTTGTATTTGCCGAGTTAATTTTCTTTATTCTAACGTTTTCAGCCTATTTGTATACGCCATCTTCAGGCTTTAACGTTGTTCGTTCCAATGGAACCAATAGTTCGAAATTCATTTGAATTTGAACTTTTAATGACAACTTACGTGTATAAATAAATAGTTAACAATAATATCAAAAACGTGTTGCAACTTAACAATAACATGAAAAATGTAAATTAAAATATATATGATAAAATATAATCTAAAATCGTGTTGCAACTTAACAATAAAAACAAAAAAATTATATCATCTTTAACTGAGTCTGAACAACTAATTCCTAAAAACTCCAGATCATACAAATGTTTATGAATTACTAGCTGCAAGGACCTGCTTTGCAAGGTTTTTAAAAAGTAATGATAGTGAAGATTAAGATAATTACATTATAGCCAATCTTACCCGTTTTCACAGAATGCAAGAATTAGGCCCCCTGTTTCCAGACTAATTAAAGATCTGGTCCCGATTCTATTTNTCAATTTTATATTTCCAAGCCGTTGGTAATGCTTTTGCATCTTTTGCATTTAGGCATCTGTCCCTCATCTTACTTTTGTAAATCTCTATTTTTTCCATTTCCATTGTGATGGAAGGTGAGTGCCCTGTTCTAACAATCTTGGCTTCATCCCATTTGATTACTGCTCTGTCTGACTGTGCCATATAGGAGTATATAGGAGTGACCAGAAGGAACCTTAAAGTATGAGTAAAGGAGCACAAATATAGTATAAAGAAAAAACTCAATAGCACAATATTAGCAAGTATGGCACAGTCAGACGGAGCAGTAATCAAATGGGATAAAGCCAAGATTGTTAGAATGGGGCACTCACCTTCCATTGCAATGGAAATGGAAAAAATAGAGATTTACAAAAGTAAGATGAGGGACAGATGCCTAAATGCAAAAGATGCAAAAGCATTACCAACGGCTTGGAAATATAAAATTGAAAAAAGTATGGGTTTTAATAATCCATAAACATTTTTATGATCTGGAGTTTTTAGGAATTAGTAGNTATAGCTATATATATATATATATAAATGGACATGTATGTCCCTATATTTCACTTTTCCGCCAAAACTACACATCGCATGTGAATGGTGTTTGTATGTGGTAGTAGCCCCAAGTCTCCATTCGTGCACAAGGGGGGTTGCGTCTCAATAGCTATAAGGGTGCGGGAGATATGGGGCTTAAATTGGTTGAAAGTGGCTTTCTATTTCGAATGTTTTGTTTGAATTAAATTCAAACATAAAATTTGAATATTGGTTCAATTATAGAACAATTGTAAACGTTCCAGAAACGTTGAAAATAGTTCGTTTGACTTGACGTGAACAGGAGACGTTCAGAAATAGAATCGGGACCAGATCTTTAATTAGTCTGGAAACAGGGGGCCTAATTCTTGCATTCTGTGAAAACGGGTAAGATTGGCTATAATGTAATTATCTTAATCTTCACTATCATTACTTTTTAAAAACCTTGCAAAGCAGGTCCTTGCAGCTAGTAATTCATAAACATTTGTATGATCTGGAGTTTTTAGGAATTAGTTGTTCAGACTCAGTTAAAGATGATATAATTTTTTTGTTTTTATTGTTAAGTTGCAACACGATTTTAGATTATATTTTATCATATATATTTTAATTTACATTTTTCATGTTATTGTTAAGTTGCAACACGTTTTTGATATTATTGTTAACTATTTATTTATACACGTAAGTTGTCATTAAAAGTTCAAATTCAAATGAATTTCGAACTATTGGTTCCATTGGAACGAACAACGTTAAAGCCTGAAGATGGCCTATACAAATAGACTGAAAACGTTAAAATAAAGAAAATTAACTCGGCAAATACAAATCAGGTGTGTTTATTTATTAATATAAGTGAACTATACCTGTTGTTACTGTCCTTAAACCATATGGTAAAGTTAGGCTATGTGAAGATTACAAATGTACATTCAATAAGGCTCTGGGAAACCATCTGTATCCAGTTCTGGCTGTCAGTCAAATTCTTGCAGAACTCACTGAAAGTCGTCATTTTATCAAGTTTGGTCTGTCACAAGCTTACCTACAATTAGCTGTTGATTAAGCTTCAGCTATGACACAGACAATCATGATGCATCAAAGGGCATTCAAATGCAAATGTTTGCAATTTGGGATATCTTCCATTCCTGAAACATTCCAGCATTTCATTGAAACACTGTTGGCAAGCATTCCAGTTTTGCAATATTTTGATTATGTCTTAATCAAAGATTCAACACTTAAGGAGTTGGCTAAATGATTGTGGGAAGTCCTTTGATGTTTTTCTGAATCAGGACTGCAAGTTAACAGAGATAAGTGCATCATAGGAATCCCTTGCATTAAATTTTTGGGTATCAAAAGAATGATGAGAAAGGCATCAAACCTACGAAAGACAAGGTAAAAGCTATCTGGAGGCACCTACATCTAGGAATAGGGAAGAACTTCAGGCATTTTTAGATCTGTTGAATTTTTATCATGTGTTCCTGCAAGACAAGGCAACAGTAGCCAAACCTCTTCATTGCCTACTCAACAAGGGATCACAATGGAAGTGGAATCAAAGTCACGAGAAAGCTTTTGAAAAAGTAAAAATGCTGTTGTCAACTGATGCACTTCTAGTCCATTTTTGATGAAAGAAAGTCGATTATTTTCACCTGTAACACTTCTCAATATGGGATAGGTGCGGTGTTGAGTCATGAATTAGAAGGTGGAGTTGAAACACCTGTCATGTACTATTCTAGATCCATGAACACAACTGAATGCCAATAGGCACAAATTGATAAATAAGCACTTGCCAGGAATTCAAGATGTTAAGAAATATGGACATAAGTTTGAAATTCACAAGCCATTATTGGGTCTCTTGTCTTGTGACAAAGCTACACTGCCCATATCAACACCTAGACTGCAACAATAGTCTCTGGTACTAAGCACTTACATCTTGTTTATAAACCAGGCAAATCAATTTCTCATGCAGGTGGACTTAGTCGGTCGCCTCAACCACTTACTACAAGTCATGACACAATAAAGATTTATTTCTAGAAGCACTAGATAAATTACCATTACAGACCAAAAAGACTGCTCAAGATTGTATACTATCATGAACAGGGTGTGGAAGGGGTGGCCAACAGAAAACCTAGATGCAGCATTTACACCATTTGCCTAGAGGAAATTGGAACTCAGCATACAGAGGCTGCTTACTGTGGAGATGCAGAGTTGTTGTACCAAAGAAAGCTCAGGCTCACATATTGGCCATACTTCACAATGCTCACCAAGAATTTGTTCATACTATTCTTGCACACAGCTATGTGTGGTTGCCTGGCATGGATCAACAAACAGAAAATATAGTAGGTGCTTGCACTTCTAGACAGTGACATCATGAGACTGTCCAAAAAAATCTTGATCAAGACTTCATATTGATCATGATGGTTCTTTCCAGGGAGCTTTGTTGCTGATTGTCTTAGACTCATATTCCAAATGGCTTGAAGTAATCAAGGTTAAATTAACCAATTCCAAATGTGCAATCAATGCATTGAGGAAGTTATGGAATCCCTGATGTGATGGTATCAGATAATAGAACAGGATTTTCATCATCAGAATTCCAAGAGTTTCTGGAAAGAAATGGAATCCATCACATTTTAATTGCACTGAGACACCCATCATCCAATAGGCAAGCAGAGAGTATAGTCTAAACTACAAAGGATCACTGTGATGGATTATCTCTGGTAACTAAAATTGCATCATTTTTATTGGCTCAACATGCTACTCCTAATGCTGCTATAGGTGTCTTTCCAGCAGTTACTAATAAACCATTGCTTGAAGACCTGTTTGGATAAATTAGATGAGATGAGAATCAAGCAGATCATAGTTGTTCAAGAATTCAAGTTTTGCACCTTTGGATCTGGTATATGCTTGAGAATTTCCTTTGTACAATAAATGGGTCCCTGCAATGGTGATGAAAATGATAGATATGGCAACATATATGATCTAAAATAACGGTCTCATTTGAAAATATATTGTTTCCAAATGTGACCTTCATTAACGAACAAGCAGAGAAGATAGTCCAAACTACAAGGGATCACTGCAATGGGTTATCTTTGGTAACTGGAATCAAAGACTTGTGTCATTTTTATTGACTCAACATGCTACTTATTGTTGATCAGTTGACAAAGCATCAGGAATTACTTCAAGGAGACACAGGAAGAGAAAACAACAGTGGTAGGTGAAAAACCCCAACCCAGAATCTTTCCCATCATCAATGATGTCAGAGCTTCCTATAAACAATAAACAGTCAAGGTTGCCAGGAATTCAAGGTGTTAAGAAATATGGACATAAGTTTGAAATTCACAAGCCATTATTGGGTCTCTTGTCTTGTGACAAAGCTACACTGCCCATATCAACACCTAGACTGCAACAATAGTCTGATACTAAGCACTTACATCTTGTTTATAAACCAGATCAAAAGCAACCAGATCAAATAATGATCCCCAAAAGATTTCAGATGCAAGTGAACAAAATACAGAAAAGCCACATCCCAGTGATCTCCCATCAACACTGTTTGAACCAAGTGCATTCCTGCATGAATGGAAAACTATGTTACATAGAGAGAGAGATGTTATGTATTTGGACTTTGGGCTAGATCTGAGTGGTCATGGGGACTGTCGCCAAGAGAGGACAACAGTATGAGCATGGGAAGCACATGGTCATTCGATTCCTACAACTCAGGGACAACATGTCTTGTTCTTGTTGCTCCAACTAGTTTTTAACAAAGACCAACTATAATAAAGAGTATCCCAGTGTCCAAGCATGGTGTCTGGATTAGTAAACTATGGCAAACACAGAATAATTAAAGATTTAAAACATGTTCTCAGGAAATAAATGTGATTAAGACATAACATTTGTCATCTTTTGTATTAAAAATTGTCAAATCAATGAGAATACACAACTACTACTCTCCATACATTAATCAAATAAAACTTTCTTATCTTTAATCTATGAACAATTTGTACAATTTTAAAATATTTATATTTGTTTCTTAAATATAATTATTATACCAATTTTATTTAAATCAAATATTTAAACATTTCAATCATAAAATATATTTCAATATCAAATATTAAAAATTTTTTGCAGCCAGCTAAATTAAATTTAGAAACATTCTAAAATAATTACCTGACCAGTAAATTCTTCTTTATTGTAACAAAATTTAAAAACATCCTTAATATTGAAAAGTGGTAAAGTGATCTAAATTTTTAAAAATTTCAAAACATTAATACTTATTTAATACCCAACTAGATGCTTCTTAATTTCCACAACACCACCTTATCTCACTGAGAATTATTTATTACTTTTAAAAAAGATTTTTAACCTGTTCTACAGGCCATCTTCAGATTTTTTAAAAAGCCATGGAACATTAATAACTATTCTTTTTGAATAGAACAGTTAAAAACACATTTAAAATACAAAATTCTTTGGAATAATAAGTTATTTGAATCCAAAGAATAAATTACAGTAATATATATACAATTTAAAATAACAAAATAATAAAATATAATAATATAAAGGGAAAAAAGAAAAGAAAAAATTATATTCATAACACCAGTCGTTGATTGTATGAACATTATGCAGTATTCTCCAATAAGTTTTTTCAATCATATATTTTAACACTGTGAAAATATTTTTTATTTTCTTTTTTGTTTTTTTCCTTTATATTATTATATTTTATTATTTTGTTATTTTAAATTGTATATATATTACTGTAATTTATTCTTTGGATTCAAATAACTTATTATTCCAAAGAATTTTGTATTTTAAATGTGTTTTTAACTGTTCTATTCAAAAAGAATAGTTATTAATGTTCCATGGCTTTTTAAAAAATCTGAAGATGGCCTGTAGAACAGGTTAAAAATCTTTTTTAAAAGTAATAAATAATTCTCAGTGAGATAAGGTGGTGTTGTGGAAATTAAGANGTGAAATTTGGTACACAGTTAGGGTACGTCATGAAAACGCTCACTAAGAAGGGATTTTTCGAAATTCCCCCGCGGGGGGAGGGAGAGGATTAAGTCTTAACCGGAAAAACCGGCTTCTACTGTACTATTTTAGATGCGATTTTTTGTTTTTATCTGCATTTTAGTAGGGTACGCCAAGGAAATGCACACTTGGAAGGGATTTTTTGAAATTCTCCAGCAGGGGGAGAGGGAGAGCATTAAGGCTTAACCGGAAGAATGGCTTCTACTGTACTATTTTACATGCAATTTTTTGTTGTTTAGTCTTCATTAAGTACTTAAGTGTATTAAATTAATAACATTTCAGACATTGTTATAAATATTTTTATATATTTTGATTTTTTAACCAAATGTTCAAACCTTTTTAAATTCAAATTTGTTATTGCATATCGGTTCGATTATAGAATGATTGCAAACGTTCCAGAAAATTGATCAAATTGAAAATAGTTTGTTTGATTCTCAGCAATTCTCATCATTCTCAGTGGTAGATGTTATGTAACAATTACTATGGTTGTTGAAATACTGAATATAAATGGCATTGGCTTGCAAAACCTCCGCGGGTGAAGTCGCGGGTAACAGCTAGTTCCAAATAATTTTGTATTTTAAATGTGTTCTTCACTGTTCTATTCAAAAAGAACAGTTATCAATGTTCCATGGCTTTTTAAAAAACATGAAGATGGCCTGTAGAACAGATTGAAAACAAGTAAATAAATAATTCTCAGTGAGATAAGGTGTTGTTGTGGAAATTAAGAAAACATTAATATGTAACAATTTATTAAAATATTAATATTAAAAATTAAAAAATAAATTAATAGCTTTTTTTGTCAAAATTAATTTATGTACACAGTGTAGTTTTGAGTTTATGTAATTCTAAAACAGAACAATTTTTGATATTACAACACAAATTTAAATTTTTTTATTTATATTTTCATTATGTGTACCACTAGTAATGATGATACAGGATCTTTGTAACATTCATTGATACTGGTAACTTTTTGAGAGCTTGCTAACAGTGAACTTTACATTTTGGAAATGTATTGTATAATTTCTTATGTTTATTTCTATTTCAGTTTTATTAATTTTTTTTATTTCTATTTGTTAATATGTGTATTATTACTAATTGGAAACATCAAATCTAATCCTAATCCAATGTCTCATACTCCTCCTCCCTTCCCTCCTTTGAAGTTGTCCATATCTTTGGTTGGGAAATGTCAATGATTGCTAGTGAAACAGTTTTAAAAACTCAATGGCTGGAATCTTTTCTTCCCTTTACTAAGTTCACCTACTACTATATCTCAAAATTCGATTTCATTTTTGGAAAAGAGATTTTATGCAATTTTAACTAAACTCAAAGATTTATCAACCAAATTTGAATGACTGGCAAATTTGCATAAAGACTTTGATCACTTCACTAATGTTGAGAAGTTGGAGGAATTAACTAATTCAACTGTGCTTTCTACTTCTTAGACTTCTTATTTATTATATCTGCTGGATTCTTCATTCAATGAATGTAAGCAAAATAATATTGCCAAACTGAAAGGTAATTCAACAAAAATTTTAAGTTTAGCTTCTGACATTCTGTTTTCTGTTAAAAGATCTAATAATGACTCTAATATCTAATAATAATTTCTATGAAAGCTTTTAATAAAATTTTAAAAAATAATTTGGTGATGGCAGAGCTTGATCTTGTTCTGATAGAAAACTGATTTATAAGAATTTGCATAACAATCAAAGAAAGGACAAATGTTCCAGGGTCAGAATTTTTTATTTATATTGGATATTAAGAATTTGGAAAAGTAATCTTGTTCCTTTTTTCGGTGAGACCAAGGAAAAAAACAAATGTGATTGGTTCATGAGGGCCAACTGCTTAATAACTGATGGTGATAATTTTACTATATTTTAAAAATAATTTTATTGAATTTTTCATGAAAATATATTTTTCTGCTCAATATATAAATTTTCATTAGAAATTTTATTTAATTTTTTAAATTTCTATTACTACAGTTTCATGCAAATTACCTGTAGCAGTGTGTATATCCCATAAAAAACTAGGATGAAGACAAAATGTTTGTATGGCCTATACCTTTGACACTTGTAAAATTCCATCTTAATTATTAAAACATTGTTTTTTCTTGTTTTACTTTCATTATCAGTTCATTACAGATGTAATTATAAAATAATTGAAATGAAAAAAACAGAATACCAAGATCAAATCTAATCTTATAAGTGTAGAAAATGCAAATAGCTACTAAATAACTTTTTTATTTTCTATTTTATTTTTTTAATCTATTGCTTCATTTCTGTTTTATTTATCAAAAATCATTAATAAAATATTTAATAATATATAATAGTAACAATAAATGTTAAAACAAACTTGGAGAAAAATAACTTTTTATAAATATTTTCTAACGAATAGAAAATAGCTTTAATGTCAGTAATATCCAATGGCACTTGACAGCCATACAGTAAGGCAGTAAAAATGTCAGTTTACCACTCTAGAGTCCTGGAATTAAATATCAACAGAAATCTCCAAGAATTTCACAAGGACAATCTATCCCAGAAATGTTGGTCCCCTTTTCTTACAATCTGGCCATCTGTTACATATGACCAAATAATGCACAGTTTATATACTGTATGTTTCTAAATTCAACACTTATATCACTGGTGAGTTCTCCATTGAGTTCCTCTGTTGAATGATCTAATGACATGTTTTGTGGAAAAAAGAAATGTTTGCATTGAAAGATTGCTTTTCATGATGGCTGACTTAATTAAGGAGAAGGTGACAATTGTTGCTGCTTTGCTAAATAATTAAAGTAAGTCACTTAACCATTATTTGAATAAACCCTTTTATTTGAATGAACCCTTATCTGTATCATTTTCTTCTATACTGGGTCTTTCTTCAATAATTTGAATTTCTTGAATATTTATATCATTAGGAAGATGAAAAGAGGGCCAAATATCAGTCCTTATCAAATTTTGAACAAATTCATGGAGGTAGTTTGTTTCAGAAAAAAGCTTAATATTTCAATATTTCAAATTATCCAATATAATCATGCAATCACATGTTTTATCATATACAGATTGTTCATTAATCTGTCTGCTATTACAGCATCCATAAGAAGAGTGAATTGATAGTTTCTATAAGCAAAATTCACTTGTTTTATAGAAGCTGCCATGTTAGTTTGTTAAATACTCAATGGTCTTTCAAGTCATTGAGACGATCGAGTTCAATAGTAAGCCTGTGACAATTGCTCGTCATTTCTGTATATAAAATTAAATTGTCAATTATGAAACCTTTGTTTATAAGCTTCTAGAATATTCCATCACTTGGAGGGCAATAAACCCAGCAGGAGAGCAGAACAGGAGAGGATATATATTGACTCATGGTTGAGAAAGCAACTCTCTATTCTTGGTGCCATTACAAGAAGAACACAAAATCAACCAGCGATGATGAGACTGTGCAAAGGAAGAGTTACAGAAGTCAATGGACTCTGTTCCAATTGATGAGATGACCAGGAGGAAAATACTGCAATTGTGCAACACAAAAACTTGAGGAACTTCTCACATACTAGTGCCCATCTCCACTGTATTTTCAACTGTAGGATTGTCATGTATGAAAATTTACAGATTAGACTAATATGTAATTATCACAAAAAGACAAAATGTCTGAGTGTAACAGAAACCTAAAATGTCATAATATTTGAAAACACTCTAATATCATGTGTATCAAATTTGATATTAACTCAATTTCATGTTGAAAAAATAAAACTTTACAAGCCAACTTTGATGTCATGATGGACTTCAATGGACAACTCAAAGGTCCATTTAGAAACATCTTTTTCTCACTGTTGAGCCAATTGTTGAATATAGAAATGTACCCATATATGTATACATATACACATTTGAACAAGATATAATTCTGTACATACATATATATACAATGTACAGAATATATATACTGTACAGAATTATTCACTGTATATATATCCAATGTTACATGTTACATAATTTATCACTCAGCTATTATTCACTGTAGAGAATTATATCTTGTTCAAAACAAAAGATGTGCTTTCTTTATATCATAAAGATCTGATGAACTGTAATAATCAGGTTATCCAATAAAATGATGAAATTCTGTTTGATTCATCCTGTTTAGAAAAAGTTATTCCTATTTACATTGTATATTTTAAGCCAGCTGGAATAATAAAGTCAGCTTAACAATACAATGTGAAAGAAACTCACTCAAATGTTTATTTGGTTTAAATTCTGAAAAATCTCATGTGACATAAGGTTTCTTTGAGGTCCTCACTTATATTCAAAACATGATAGAAGTAAAAAAAGAGCATCTAGTGCAAATGAAAAGAAACATATGATAAATTAATCTGCAGAAGACATTTACCTTTTTTGAGAAATCTGAAAAGAGAAGATTGAAAATTTAAAATACGTCAAACTAAGTATAATAAAGCCACTTAACATCCCCACAGTCAGTATAAATTTAAATGGATTTACTCAAACTTTTGAGGTTATTCAGATCTGTGGGTTTATTTCTTCAAAATTACTTTTTTGTGTGTGTTAATATCAGGTGAGGTGTGAGTTGTGATGGTACCACAGGAGTCATTACATAAAAACCAAAAAATAATTCTAAAAATGTAACACAACAGCAAGAAATGTAATACAATAATTTACACAATTACAATTTTGAATATAGTCATTTCAAATTGGTCGATGGTATTTACATTTAATAAAATATAAAAATATAGAAGATAAAAAAGTTTTTGATATTCATCTTCACAATCACCAGCAATTTGAAATGAACTATTTGTTTTTTTAGTAATGGCAATAGCACCAGAAGGCATTTTAAACAATTTACTTTATTGCAGAGACATAGCCTCCATAAAAAGGTCATCTCTGTAGATGAATTTATGTCACTGGTGATTGTGAAGACAAATGTCTGAAGACTTTTTGTATTTTCATATTTTATTGAATATATTGTTTACAATAATCTGAAACTTAGAAAATGTGCTTTGGATAAACCTATATGTGGATTTATTCAAGTATTTTGGATTTATTTTTTTAAATAAGACTGGAAAGTGGGTTTATTTGAGCTTGTGAGGTAAATTTAAACCTGTGGGTCTAATCAAGTGTGTACAGTATAAATTAATGTAAACAAATAGTTAATCTTGTAATCTCTTCAGTAATTTCTATAATTTGTGACAAGCCACATTGTATGATAGAGTTATAGTTTGGCCTCGTCTGATATATATTATAATTAAAATTGCTTACTTGTTGTAACAATTGGCTAAGCATAAGAAGTGAATGACTTGTCACTACAGAAATATCAAATTGATTTGGCATTTTTTGATATGCTTCTTCCCAAGATGAAGGATTAGGTATAGATTCATTATTTATCTTCATCAAATATAAATAATTAAAATTTTTTTCTTCAGGAACTAGTAATTTCTGTACATGCAAGATTTTATGCATGATGATTTTCTTTGTGATGCTCTGAAAAATAAAATTGAAATTAATTAATTAATTTAAATTTAAATTAAAATAAAATCAATTGAAACATAATATTTCAGAAAGTGTGGATAAAATACTTATTGTCTGTCTTAATTGGATTTGGTTATATTTCATCCATGCAATTGGACAGATCTAAGTTTTTTGGGGACTAGGGCTTATTAAAGTCCAATGGGGTCCAATTGTTACCAAACCTAACCTATTAACTATATTTTATTATACGATAAGTGCTCATTGTTAATAAAAAGTATTAAAAATTTATGACAATAATTCAATTTTTGTGGACCCTAGACACGTGAAGGCCCAGGGCTTAAGTCCTATTAGTCCCTATGTAGATCTGTCCCTGCATGCAGTCAAAGTTAAGTCTTTATTAATAGCACTTCTTGGTAAAGTGTTAGTTTCTGCTTAGGTTTTGGTGGTGATGAAACATTTTGCTTTTAATCTATACTAATATTATAAAGAGGTAATGTTTGTAAGTTTGTATGTAGCGGGTAATCTCCGAAATTACTCATCCGATTTCAAAAATTCTTTCACCAATATTTACAATAGAACTTCAGGGTGGACATAGGCTGTATATTATTCCGTTAAACGTTCATGTAAATTAAAAGATATCATCTAGGTTAAGGCTTTTATGTTCAACAGATGGCGCTACGAGTACGACGATCTAAGTTTGCTTTTCTGTGAGGCATTACGCTTTTCTGTGAGGATGAACTAGAGCAGATCATCTTCTATCTATCTATATAAATAAAAAGTGTAATGTTCGTTTGTTCCTACCGATTCCTTTGAAATTTTGACACAACGCTGCATTTGAATATGCATGTGTTTTTATATAATATACATGTCGAAATTCCCTCCACTGGGGAGAGATGGACAGGATTAAGGCTTACCGTGAACAACTTGGCTTCTATTATACTATTTTAGATGCGGTTTTCTGCGTTTTTGATTGTGTTTTAATAGGGTATGTGAATAGAATGTACACTAAGAAGGAATTTTTCGAAAAATTCCCCCCCCACAATGGGGAAGTGTTATACATTTATAATAGATACATTTTGAGCCATAACAACACGTGGCGGGGTCTACTAGTATATAATATATACAGTTATATCTATAAGAGCTACTGTAGTTTTTATTTTAAATTAAAATATGAAATAGCTAGAAGTTTAAAAAAAATTTTAACAAAGCAGCAAAAAATAGGTCTTACTTAATGATTAATTAAAAATAATCATTAAAAGAATTGAGCGTATTAAATGATAGTTAGAAGTAATTATTACTATCCAAAAAACTTTATTTATACCATTATTTCTTTAAATAAATAACAACAAACATTTTTAGCTATCTTCACAGGTTTATTGATCACCACTAAATAGGACATTATCAACAAGAACTTCTCATGGATCAGCTTGATTTATGATGTGAAAGTAATGTTGTTTGATTTAGCATTTAAATATAACCTAAGTATTCAAATAAATAAATAGAGACTAAAATACAATAAGTGTAAATAAAGTATTAGCAATATGTCCTTCTGGATTGTCACAATTGGGGATTATTCCTCCTAGTGGTACAACATCCTCTATGCATTCATGAGCCCATGAACTATTAGATTTAAGTAAAAGTAAATAATAAACTTCTAATTATTGTGACAATGTGCAAAGTGTCCCTATGCTTCAGACAACAGGACCAAAGGGTCAACATTGCATTAGCAAAGACTGTAATGACTATTCATCAGGACTGACACCACTTGAACTTGAAAGTAAAGTTGAGATAGCTATCCTAGTTGGAGTTAGCCATGTGAAAAAAGGGAGGGTATAGAGGGATGAGTGAGGGGTAGAGTGGGGAAGGGGAGGTAGTGGGATAGAAGAGGGGAAAAGAGGTGGAAAGTGGAGATAGAGTTTGGGATCACATTTCTGATTAGCATCGCACTTACAAAGAAAACAGTCATTGATACAAATAATTTACAGATTGCCTTTCCGGCTAGATGGGTACAATAGTGAATACAGGACAAAATGTACATGGCAGTGGCCTGTCGCCAATGGTAATCTTGACAAAATAGAAAGTACTACATTAAAACACAGTTACTACACTAGTGGTATGTTACATAAAAGGACAATGTTATGTCAATAAAAGACCTCAGTGACAAGACTGCTGATTGGAGCAAAACACAGAGGATCACAGATGCAATCTAAGACCAGAACAAGAGATGCTATGCGTGACACGATGGGAAACACCTACAAAGTGCATGTCCATGGTTGCACAGAAACAGGCAACGAAGACAGTGGACAGATTCACCAGTCAACCAACCACAATGCTGGTGATGAGAGTGGTGATCCCACCAACTGTCAGTACAGAGTGAAACAGCAGAAGGATCCCCGCATGTTGTTTCAGATGGAGTCTGAAGAACTGGTTAGGTTTGACATAGGCCTGAGTTATACTTGAAGCGACTACAAGAGTTTATGAATTTGGCAAACAGCTCAAAGATCTCTTGATCCTCACAGAGGGTGTTGAGTTCAGGAGGCCAACAGAATCCCTTCCGTAGACAATGGTAGATGAGTTCTTCCCGCTGGCTTCCATACAGTGTACAGTGAAAGATGTAATGGAGGGCATCTCCTTCAGAGATACCATCACAACCACACCTGTCATTATTGATCTTTTTGAATCTTGTAAAGTACAAGGGAAAGTTACCATGACCAGACAGGCATTGCGTGATGACATGAGAAGTGGTGAAGTAGCTGAGAGCCTGTCTTTTATTAATCGAAGGAAGAAACTTGTAAGTGGTTCTGCCAGTGGTTGAGGTAGCCCAATCCTTTTGCCACTCCTCCATTATACAGTCTCTGATATTGTTCTTGATATGTGTGATGGGAATTTTAGAAAAAGTGGTGGTGATGTCTGTTGTGGTGACCTTTTTAGCAAGGGCATCAACGTGCTCATTGCCTTTATTACCTGTGTGCCCAGGCACCCAGATAAAACTGAGTTGAGCAAATTTTCTGAGGTTTCTGGCAAGATGTCTGACCTCCACGCCAGTCCTTGTGCACTTATTATTGCTCGAAAGGATATTAATCACATACATACTGTCTGTGTTGATACAGATGCTGCCATTGTAGATCCTCCTATTTTTAGTGATGGTGCTTAGAGCTTTATATACAGCTAGCAGTTCTGCCTGGTTGTTAGTGCAGTGCATGTGCGGCCTGCACATGCACTGCACTAACAACCAGGTAATATTGCTAATGCTGAATCTCATTCTCACTATCATAGATGATGAAGGCTGCACAGGTACTCTTATTGTTGCATAAGCCATCTATGTAGATGTTCCAGTGGACTCTGGTGTCTCTATAATGATTGTTCCTGATATTGATGGTATAGCTGCTGGTCTCTCCCAGGTTCATTCCAAGAGTACTTCCAGTAAGATAATTGTCTAACTTGTAATTAATAATGAAGTCAATTGAGTTCGCACTATTAAAGGGAATCAATCCCTTGCTACAGAGGTTTCATATCTCCTCAGTGGTAATATTCTGATGGTTAATGGTCAGCAAGTTCCACTGCCAGAAGATCTCTTTAATCCATAGGTGAATGGGGATAATGTTAGCTATAACCAGCAGTGCATCGGTGGGGGCCGTGTGATACGCCCTACAGATCCTAATAGTAGCAGGCCTCTGGATAGACAGTAATTTCCTCTTGTTATAGGCTAATGCCGCTCTGTTCCCCCAGACCTGCACTGCATACAGAATAGCAGGTTCTATCACTCCTCTGTAGATTAATTTACAGTTCCTACTGCCAAGTCCCCAGGTGTTTCTGGAGATGTAGTTGAAGAGGTTTACTCTCTGCTGAACCTTTTTACAGATTTCCATGATATAGATCTTCCAACTTAGCTTTGGGTCCAAGTAAACCCCAAGGTATTTAAGGCAAGATACAATTTTTAGTTTTTTCTTTTTCAGGTAAATGACCAGAGGGCACTGCAGCTGCTTCCTCCTGGAGTTGTGAGGCCCCAAAAATGAGTTGAAATTAAATATTTATTATTAGACATTTATTAAAACAGAAACAAAAAAAAATTGTCTATTGTTAAAAACCGATCAAAGATCGAATTAGTTGTGTTAGTCATAAGAAACCGCGATGAGAGAAAAAAAAATTTTATTGATGTAAACAGAATGTAATAATTTTAAATGATTAATTAATAATTGTAAACAAATGACCTCCAGTAGAGATGGACCTTTGAAAAGTCGTTCATATGCACATAATTAGAACATAGAAATTTGGAAAAGAGGAAAGATTAATGACGAAAAAGGACATCGCGTCGTGTCGTTAAATTTCAAAAACGTCACAGACTAGACAACAATGGTGGAAAATATGAGCGCAAGTTTCAAAGTTCCATCAACATTTTGCAGCCAGAATAACGGATGGTGTCAAGTAGATTCTTCAAGGCGGATCTTTCTCGTGACTCGAAAAGGAATCGTTTTTCGCTTAGAAACAGACGAGGGAGCCAATCAGAAAACAAATTGGAGAACGGAGATTGATATAATCCCCGATCTTCAAGGACAGA